GATGCTGGTGGCCCCACAGGTGGGGCTGGTGGCCATCACGGGTGGGGTTGGGGGGCTCGGGGAGGGGTTGGTGGACCTGGAAAGGTTCTTGAGATGATCGTGGTGGCCATGGGTGGTCCCAGGGAGGTGTTGGTGGACCTGGAAAGGTTCTTGAGATGATCGTGGTGGCCATGGGTGGTCCCAGGGAGGTGGTGGTGGACCTGGAAAGGTTCTTGAGATGATGCTGGTGGCCCCACAGATGGGGCTGGGGGTCCCGGGGAGGTGGTGGTGGACCTGAACAAGTTCTCAAGAAGATGGTGGTGGCCCCACAGATGGGGCTGGGGGTCTTGGGGAGGTGATGGTGGACCCAGAAAGGTTCTTGAGAAGATCCTGGTGGCCATGGAATTGGGGCAAAATGGTGGCCCTGGGGACACAAGGAACCTGAGGAACATCTCATGGGGAGGTGAGGAACCTGAGGAACATCTCATGGGGAAGTGAGGAACCTGAGGAACATCTCCTGGAGAGCTTGGTCCATCCATGGTGGAGCCAAGGAAGTGTGGGGCAGAAGTGCGGCGGAATTGGGGCAAAATGGTGGCCATAGGGAGGTGAGGAACATCTCATGGGGAGGTGAGGAACCTGAGGAACATCTGGGGACACGAAAATGGTGAGGAACCTGAGGAACATCTCATGGGGACGTGAGGAACATCTCATGGGGACACCAAGATGGTGAGGAACATCTCCTGGAGATCTTGGTCCATCCGTGGTGGAGCCAAGGAAGTGTGGGGCAGAAGTGGGGTGGAATTGGGGCAAAATGGTGGCCCTGGGGAGGTGAGGAACATCTCATGGGGAGGTGAGGAACCTGAGGAACATCTCAAGGAGATCTTGGGAGAAGATCCTGGTGGCCATGGGTGGTCAAAGGGAGGTGTTGGTGGACCCAGAAAGGTTCTTGAGATGATCCTGGTGGCCCCACAGCTGGGGCTGGTGGCCATCACGGGTGGGGTTGGGGGGCTCGGGGAGGTGGTGGTGGACCCAGAAATGTTCTTGAGATGATCCTGGTGGCCCTGGGGAGCTATTGGTGGCCATGGGTGGTCCCAGGGAGGTGTTGGTGGACCCATAAAGGTGGTGGTGGAGGGGGGACATGGTGGACCTGGGGACCCACTGATGGTGGCCATGGGGTCATGGGGAGATGATGCTGGTGGCCCCACAGATGGGGCTGGTAGCCCAGGTGGTCCCAGGGAGGTGGTGGTGGACCTAAAAAGGTTCTTGAGATGATGCTGGTGGCCCCACAGGTAGGGCTGGTGGTTCTGGGGAGGTGTTGGTGGACCCATAAAGGTTCTTGAGATGATGTTGGTGGCCCCAAGGAGGTTCTGGTGGCCCTGGAGAAGTTCTTGAGATGTTTCTGGTGACCCCAAGAAAGTTCTAGGGCCGATATTGGTGGCCGGGGGAGGTTTTGGTGACCTTGGCTGGTCCCTGGGGAGGTTCTGGTGGTCTGAGGTCACCCCCTAACCATGTGTCCTCCTCCTGCCCCCCAAGTCTTCGCCCAACCCATCGTCAGCAAGGCCCGGCCGGAGCTTCTCCGCTCCCACTTCATCCCCACCTTGGAGAAGCTGAAGAAACGGGCGGGGAAGGTGGTGGCCGAGGAGGAGCAGCTGAGGATGGAGGCCAAGGCCGAGGGAGAAGAAGCCGAGCTCCTCATCCGCGATGAGTTCTCCGTCCTCTGCCGGGACCTCTACGCCCTCTACCCCCTCCTCATCCGCTACGTGGACAACAGCCGGTGAGGAGAAGACACGGGGGGTGGGGTGGGGTGGGGTGGGGTGGGGACACACCGGGGGAGACGGGGGGAGGCTGAGGAACATCTCAAGGGGATGTGAAGATGGTGAGGAACCTGAGGAACATCTCCTGGAGATCTTGGTCCATCCATGGTGGAGCCAAGGAAGTGTGGGGCAGAAGTGGGGCGGAATTGGGGCAAAATGGTGGCCCTGGGGACACAAGGAACCTGAGGAACATCTCATGGGGAGGTGAGGAACCTGAGGAACATCTCATGGGGAAGTGAGGAACCTGAGGAACATCTCCTGGAGAGCTTGGTCCATCCATGGTGGAGCCAAGGAAGTGTGGGGCAGAAGTGCGGCGGAATTGGGGCAAAATGGTGGCCATAGGGAGGTGAGGAACATCTCATGGGGAGGTGAGGAACCTGAGGAACATCTGGGGACACGAAAATGGTGAGGAACCTGAGGAACATCTCATGGGGACGTGAGGAACATCTCATGGGGACACAAAGGTGTTGAGGAACATCTCCTGGAGAGCTTGGTCCATCCATGGTGGAGCCAAGGAAGTGTGGGGCAGAAGTGGGGGGGACGTGGTGGCCCTGGGAACCCACTGATGGTGGCCACGTGCCCCACTGCTGGTGGCCATGGGGCCATGGGGAGGTGAGGAACCTGAGGAACATCTCCTGGAGACCTTGGGCCATCCCTGAGGAACATCTCCTGGAGATCTTGGTCCATCCATGGTTGAGCCAAGGAAGTGTGGGGCAGAAGTGGGGGGGACATGGTGGCCCTGGGGACCCACTGAAGGGGGACATGGGGACATGAGGACACTGAGGAACATCTCATGGGGAGGTGAGGATGTTGAGGAACATCTCCTGGAGATCTTGGTCCATCCATGGTGGAGCCAAGGAAGTGTGGGGCAGAAGTGGGGTGGAATTGGGGCAAAATGGTGGCCCTGGGGACACAAGGAACCTGAGGAACATCTCATGGGGAGGTGAGGAACCTGAGGAACATCTCATGGGGAAGTGAGGAACCTGAGGAACATCTCCTGGAGAGCTTGGTCCATCCATGGTGGAGCCAAGGAAGTGTGGGGCAGAAGTGCGGCGGAATTGGGGCAAAATGGTGGCCATAGGGAGGTGAGGAACATCTCATGGGGAGGTGAGGAACCTGAGGAACATCTCATGGGGACACAAAGATGGTGAGGAACATCTCATGGGGAGGTGAGGAACCTGAGGAACATCTCATGGGGACACAAAGATGGTGAGGAACATCTCATGGGGAGGTGAGGAACCTGAGGAACATCTCATGGGGACACAAAGATGGTGAGGAACATCTCATGGGGAGGTGAGGAACCTGAGGAACATCTCATGGGGACACAAAGATGGTGAGGAACATCTCATGGGGACATGAAAATGGTGAGGAACATCTCCTGGAGATCTTGGTCCATCCATGGTGGAGCCAAGGAAGTGTGGGGCAGAAGTGGGGCAGAAGTGGGGGGGATATGGTGGCCACCTGCCCCACTGCTGGTGACCACGTGCCCCACTGATGGCGACCCCCTGCCCCACTGCTGGTGGCCATGGAGACCCACCAGGTCCAAGTAGAGCCAAGGAGAAGATGTGGGGCAGAACAGGGGGGGACGGAATGTGGGGCAGAAGTGTGGGGCGACACGGTGGCCTCCTGCCCCACTGATGGTGACCACCTGCCCCACTGATGGTGGTCACCTGCCCCACTGATGGTGACCACGAGCCCCATTGATGGTGGCCATGGAGACCCACCAGGTCCAAGTAGAGCCAAGGAAGCCAAGGAACTGTGGGGCAGAAGTGGGGGGGACATGGTGGACCTGGGGACCCATTGATGGTGGCCCTGGGGACACGAGGACACTGAGGAACATCTCCTGGGGAGGTGAGGATGTTGAGGAACATCTCCTGGAGATCTTGGTCCATCCATGGTGGAGCCAAGGAAGTGTGGGGCAGAAGTGGGGGGGACATGGTGGACCTGGGGACCCACTGATGGTGGCCATGGGGTCATGGGGAGGTGAGGATGGTGAGGAACATCTCATGGGGAGGTGAGGAACCTGAGGAACATCTGGGGACACGGTCCGAGTAGAGCCAAGGAGAAGATGTGGGGCAGAACGGAGGGGACGGAGTGTGGGGCAGAAGTGTGGGGCGACACGGTGGCCTCCTGCCCCACTGATGGCGACCCCCTGCCCCACTGATGGTGGTCACCTACCCCATTGATGGTGGCCATGGAGACCCACCAGGTCCGAGTAGAGCCAAGGAGAAGATGTGGGGCAGAACGGGGGGGATGAAGTGTGGGGCAGAAGTGGGGGGGATGTGGTGGCCCTGGAGACCCACTGAAAAGGAGAAGATGTGGGGCAGAACGGAGGGGACGGAGTGTGGGGCAGAAGTGTGGGGCGACACGGTGGCCTCCTGCCCCACTGATGGCGACCCCCTGCCCCACTGATGGTGGTCACCTACCCCATTGATGGTGGCCATGGAGACCCACCAGGTCCGAGTAGAGCCAAGGAGAAGATGTGGGGCAGAACGGGGGGGATGAAGTGCCAAGGAAGTGTGGGGCAGAAGTGGGGGGGACATGGTGGACCTGGGGACCCACTGATGGTGGCCATGGGGTCATGGGGAGGTGAGGATGGTGAGGAACATCTCATGGGGAGGTGAGGAACCTGAGGAACATCTCATGGGGACACAAAGATGGTGAGGAACATCTCCTGGAGATCTTGGTCCATCCATGGTAGAGCCAAGGAAGTGTGGGGCAGAACTGGGGGGGACGTGGTGGCCCTGGAGACCCATTGATGGTGGCCATGGGGACATGAGGACATGAGGAACCTGAGGAACATCTCATGGGGATATGAGGATGGTGAGGAACATCTCCTGGGGAGGTGAGGAACCTGAGGAACATCTCCTGGAGATCTTGGTCCATCCATGGTTGAGCCAAGAAAGTGTGGGGCAGAAGTGGGGGGGACATGGTGGGCCTGAGGACCCATTGATGGTGGCCCTGGGGACATGAGGACACTGAGGAACATCTCATGGGGAGGTGAGGAACCTGAGGAACATCTCATGGGGACATGAAAATGGTGAGGAACATCTCCTGGAGATCTTGGTCCATCCCTGGTGGAGCCAAGGAAGTGTGGGGCAGAAGTGGGGTGGAACTGGGGCAAAATGGTGGCCCTGGGGAGGTGAGGAACCTGAGGAACATCTCATGGGGACGTGAGGAACATCTCATGGGGACACAAAGGTGTTGAGGAACATCTCCTGGAGAGCTTGGTCCATCCATGGTGGAGCCAAGGAAGTGTGGGGCAGAAGTGGGGGGGACGTGGTGGCCCTGGGAACCCACTGATGGTGGCCACGTGCCCCACTGCTGGTGGCCATGGGGCCATGGGGAGGTGAGGAGCCTGAGGAACATCTCCTGGAGACCTTGGGCCATCCATGGTGGAGCCAAGGAAGTGTGGGGCAGAAGTGGGGCAGAAGTGGGGGGGATATGGTGGCCACCTGCCCCACTGCTGGTGACCACGTGCCCCACTGATGGCGACCCCCTGCCCCACTGATGGTGGCCATGGAGACCCATTGATGGCCAAGTAGAGCCAAGGAGAAGATGTGGGGCAGAACAGGGGGGGACGGAATGTGGGGCAGAAGTGTGGGGCAACACGGTGGCCTCCTGCCCCACTGATGTGGTCACCTGCCCCACTGATGGTGGTCACCTGCCCCACTGATGGTGGCCACGTGCCCCACTGATGGTGACCACGAGCCCCATTGATGGTGGCCATGGAGACCCACCAGGTCCAAGTAGAGCCAAGGAGAAGATGTGGGGCAGAACGGGGGGGATGAAATGTGGGGCAGAAGTTGGGGGGCGACACGGTGGTCACCTGCCCCACTGATGATGACCCCCTGCCCCACTGATGGCGACCACGAGCCCCACTGATGGTGGTCACCTGCCCCACTGCTGGTGGCCATGGAGACCCACCAGGTCCAAGTAGAGCCAAGGAGAAGATGTGGGGCAGAACGGGGGGGATGGAGTGTGGGGCAGAAGTTGGGGGGGGACACGGTGGCCTCCTGCCCCACTGATGGTGACCACCTGCCCCACTGATGGCGACCACCTGCCCCACTGATGGTGGCCATGGAGACCCACCAGGTCCGAGTAGAGCCAAGGAGAAGATGTGGGGCAGAACGGAGGGGACGGAGTGTGGGGCAGAAGTGTGGGGCGACACGGTGGCCTCCTGCCCCACTGATGGCGACCCCCTGCCCCACTGATGGTGGTCACCTACCCCATTGATGGTGGCCATGGAGACCCACCAGGTCCGAGTAGAGCCAAGGAGAAGATGTGGGGCAGAACGGGGGGGATGAAGTGTGGGGCAGAAGTTGGGGGGCAACACGGTGGCCTCCTGCCCCACTGATGATGACCACCTGCCCCACTGATGATGGTCACCTGCCCCACTGCTGGTGGCCATGGAGACCCATTGATGGCCAAGTAGAGCCAAGGAGAAGATGTGGGGCAGAACGGGGGGGGACGGAGTGTGGGGCAGAAGTGTGGGGCGACACGGTGGCCTCCTGCCCCACTGATGGCGACCACGAGCCCCACTGATGGTGGTCACCTGCCCCACTGATGGTGGTCACCTGCCCCACTGCTGGTGGCCATGGAGACCCACCAGGTCCGAGTAGAGCCAAGGAGAAGATGTGGGGCAGAACGGGGGGGATGGAATGTGGGGCAGAAGTGTGGGGCGACACGGTGGTCACCTGCCCCACTGATGATGACCCCCTGCCCCACTGATGGCGACCACGAGCCCCACTGATGGTGGTCACCTGCCCCACTGCTGGTGGCCATGGAGACCCACCAGGTCCGAGTAGAGCCAAGGAGAAGATGTGGGGCAGAACGGGGGGGATGGAATGTGGGGCAGAAGTGTGGGGCGACACGGTGGTCACCTGCCCCACTGATGATGACCCCCTGCCCCACTGATGGCGACCACGAGCCCCACTGATGGTGGTCACCTGCCCCATTGATGGTGGCCATGGAGACCCACCAGGTCCAAGTAGAGCCAAGGAGAAGATGTGGGGCAGAACGGGGGGGGATGGAGTGTGGGGCAGAAGTGTGGGGTGACACGGTGGTCTCCTGCCCCACTGATGATGACCCCCTGCCCCACTGATGGTGACCCCGCCCCACTTCTGCCCCACTGCCCAGGGCCAAGTGGTTGACTCAACCCAACGAGGACGCGGAGGAGCTGTTCCGGATGGTGGGGGAGGTCTTCATCTATTGGTCCAAATCCCACGTGAGTTGGGGGGCAGGAAGGGCACTTATGGGGCAGGAGAAGGTGGGGCCGTGGGTCCCGGCCCCATAGATTCATCTCCGCCCCCCGCCCCACGGCAGAACTTCAAGCGTGAGGAGCAGAACTTCGTGGTGCAGAACGAGATCAACAACATGTCCTTCCTGACGGCCGACAGCAAGACGAGGAACCTGAGGAACATCTCATGGGGACGTGAGGAACATCTCATGGGGACACAAAGGTGTTGAGGAACATCTCCTGGAGAGCTTGGTCCATCCATGGTGGAGCCAAGGAAGTGTGGGGCAGAAGTGGGGGGGACGTGGTGGCCCTGGGAACCCACTGATGGTGGCCACGTGCCCCACTGCTGGTGGCCATGGGGCCATGGGGAGGTGAGGAACCTGAGGAACATCTCCTGGAGACCTTGGGCCATCCATGGTGGAGCCAAGGAAGTGTGGGGCAGAAGTGGGGGGGACGTGGTGGCCCTGGGGACCCACTGCTGGTGGCCACCTGCCCCACTGATGGTGGCCATGGGGCCATGGGGAGGTGAGGAGCCTGAGGAACATCTCCTGGAGACCTTGGGCCATCCATGGTGGAGCCAAGGAAGTGTGGGGCAGAAGTGGGGCAGAAGTGGGGGGGATATGGTGGCCACCTGCCCCACTGCTGGTGACCACGTGCCCCACTGATGGCGACCCCCTGCCCCACTGCTGGTGGCCATGGAGACCCACCAGGTCCGAGTAGAGCCAAGGAGAAGATGTGGGGCAGAACGGGGGGGATGAAGTGTGGGGCAGAAGTTGGGGGGCAACACGGTGGCCTCCTGCCCCACTGATGATGACCACCTGCCCCACTGATGATGGTCACCTGCCCCACTGCTGGTGGCCATGGAGACCCATTGATGGCCAAGTAGAGCCAAGGAGAAGATGTGGGGCAGAACGGGGGGGGACGGAGTGTGGGGCAGAAGTGTGGGGCGACACGGTGGCCTCCTGCCCCACTGATGGCGACCACGAGCCCCACTGATGGTGGTCACCTGCCCCACTGATGGTGGTCACCTGCCCCACTGCTGGTGGCCATGGAGACCCACCAGGTCCGAGTAGAGCCAAGGAGAAGATGTGGGGCAGAACGGGGGGGATGGAATGTGGGGCAGAAGTGTGGGGCGACACGGTGGTCACCTGCCCCACTGATGATGACCCCCTGCCCCACTGATGGCGACCACGAGCCCCACTGATGGTGGTCACCTGCCCCATTGATGGTGGCCATGGAGACCCACCAGGTCCGAGTAGAGCCAAGGAGAAGATGTGGGGCAGAACGGGGGGGGATGGAGTGTGGGGCAGAAGTGTGGGGTGACACGGTGGTCTCCTGCCCCACTGATGATGACCCCCTGCCCCACTGATGGTGACCCCGCCCCACTTCTGCCCCACTGCCCAGGGCCAAGTGGTTGACTCAACCCAACGAGGACGCGGAGGAGCTGTTCCGGATGGTGGGGGAGGTCTTCATCTATTGGTCCAAATCCCACGTGAGTTGGGGGGCAGGAAGGGCACTTATGGGGCAGGAGAAGGTGGGGCCGTGGGTCCCGGCCCCATAGATTCATCTCCGCCCCCCGCCCCACGGCAGAACTTCAAGCGTGAGGAGCAGAACTTCGTGGTGCAGAACGAGATCAACAACATGTCCTTCCTGACGGCCGACAGCAAGAGCAAGATGGCCAAGGTGTGGGGCAGGATGTGGGGCGCCCCACAGCTCCCCACACATCACCCCACCCCACACATAACCCCCCCACCTCCTGCCCCATAGATACACCCCCCAAAAAA